TCCGCCATGACCGATGATCGGACAAAAGTGATGTGTAACATATGGGAATCGACCGAGAATCGAAAAAATCGTTTGGGGGCGGGAGGCTGATCAGTCTAAAAGCAGATTCCCCAGTTTGCATTTCTGACGTGCCGTTAAATTTCTCCACTTGTGTTTAACGAACCGATAATTTTCGGGCTGAATTTTATTTCACCATACGTTTTACCACAATGTAGCCGGACTGGCCGGGAATCTTCTATGGGAGTTAGCTGTCAAAGTTGGTACAAGTCTCAGCACACCTCCCATGGTGGGGATAAACAAGTTTTTACTCAACGCACAGGCAAGACACGAATAAAGTAGGCAACCAAATTACAGCCATTTCCTACTTAAAGACACAGCTATCCCCTACTCTTGTTTTTCTATCAACAGTAGCAAAATGAGCGCTATTCAGCGCTTACACTTGCACTACCCAGTTAAGTGAGTAATTGTTTCTTTCTCAGACATTTGTGTCAAACTGTCTGATACGCAACTGTGCGCATGCTTCCCCTCAAAAATGGGTAAATAACAAGGATTATAGATGTCAAGAAAGCTATTCTAGATGTCGGGAATAGAGAAGAAAAGTCTAGGATGCGCACTTAAATTTAGACGCAAGGCTTCCGTGAAATTTGTTGAGAGGTTTATGGAGGCAAGGATTATTCAAGAAAGCTATTCTAGATGTCGGGAATAGAGAAGAAAAGTCTAGGATGCGCACTTAAATTTAGACGCAAGGCTTCCGTTCCGTGAGTTGAGCTATCTGTCCGGCTATTCACGATAACATACTGAGTTTCGGTTTCGTTAGAAAATATAGTGCATGAAGTTTGCAGTATTATTTACCAACGGCCGTGTATGGTCGAAAGAAGCAATGTCTGTTGGTGGGTTACATTCACTCGCATGTCTGTGAGAATGATTGAATCAAGTTCTCTTGCAAGGGAGTTGGACTGGTACCACTCCTATACAGATGCCACGTTTTGCGCTTTCTTGGGCTGGTAGACGGATTATATCTGAGGCGTTCCACAAGTTGATGTTAGATCCTGCTCGCGGTTGAACAATTTAGTGATTCTCTTGCGATGTTCACTTAAGCCTCCTGCCTTTGGTTTTATCAGTATGTAAAGAATTACGGTAGGAAATAAAATCAACAGACGATGAGCAAATTTTTCATTCGTCTAAGGAATTATCAGGCTGCGTGCCTTTCGATTGTCGGGGGAGGTTTCAATGACAGTGAATGATCTGCTCGTGGTTTGTCGGTAGTGTAGTTGGTTGTAATGATTCTTAGTAATGTGTAAGAAGGTGACCTTTGACACAGGTGGTAGTGCATGAGAAGAATGATGATCAAAAACCGTAATTAGTCAGACTGACTTTTTGATTCTGGGGTAGTTTCGAGGATAAATCCGAGTTTTTCGTATCAGCATGGCGTCGTGGTCTCAGTTCCACAAGAAATTATTAGGGAATCCTGTCCGAGAATAAATCTCCGCCATGACCGATGATCGGACAAAAGTGATGTGTAACATATGGGAATCGACCGAGAATCGAAAAAATCGTTTGGGGGCGGGAGGCTGATCAGTCTAAAAGCAGATTCCCCAGTTTGCATTTCTGACGTGCCGTTAAATTTCTCCACTTGTGTTTAACGAACCGATAATTTTCGGGCTGAATTTTATTTCACCATACGTTTTACCACAATGTAGCCGGACTGGCCGGGAATCTTCTATGGGAGTTAGCTGTCAAAGTTGGTACAAGTCTCAGCACACCTCCCATGGTGGGGATAAACAAGTTTTTACTCAACGCACAGGCAAGACACGAATAAAGTAGGCAACCAAATTACAGCCATTTCCTACTTAAAGACACAGCTATCCCCTACTCTTGTTTTTCTATCAACAGTAGCAAAATGAGCGCTATTCAGCGCTTACACTTGCACTACCCAGTTAAGTGAGTAATTGTTTCTTTCTCAGACATTTGTGTCAAACTGTCTGATACGCAACTGTGCGCATGCTTCCCCTCAAAAATGGGTAAATAACAAGGATTATAGATGTCAAGAAAGCTATTCTAGATGTCGGGAATAGAGAAGAAAAGTCTAGGATGCGCACTTAAATTTAGACGCAAGGCTTCCGTGAAATTTGTTGAGAGGTTTATGGAGTCAGTGTATTTTTGTCGTGGGCACTAAGGGACACATCGTATTTTTTATTATAAGTATTATGATATCATATTATATTATTATATTATACAATATTATATATTATATCACATTATTATGGTTATTTTTCTCGGTTTGGTCTCACTAATGTCTCTCACCCTTTTAGGCAGTGTGTCCGAAGTCAAAAGGTATTTGTGGGTTAGATTGACAACTCTCTTCAACAACATTTGTTGCTGCGCCAGGTTGAACAGTAGCAGAGGAAAACGTGAAAGACTTTTTTTTTACCATGTATTAGGAATCGTTTCTGTGACCAGCCGCAGTCTGCTGAGAGATGGCATTTTTGTGCACTAGAACTCGTCCCCAAGTTGCCGAGTTGATTGTTTAAATCTGATGAGATAACAAGCCAAGTTAGCGATGCAGAGTGTTTTAAAATACAGGCAATTCCATCTGAAAACAGTCTGTACCAACAAAAAAGCTTTCGTAATTTCTGTACGGCTTTTTGTTGACCTTTTTGGAGAATAACCTCCCACCGAGAGGCCATATATTTTCTCAATAATATGAAATCAAATGCCCCTCAAGAATAATCCATCAAGTTTCAGGTGAGATGTGAAAGCTGCCAGGCAGATGCACTCAATAGTGGTTGTGTCAAGTTAAGTGTTACATGACCCGTATGAAACACATTCCAGACTGACATGAGCTTCAGATGACTTTGATGAGCAGCACACTGTTTTCGTAGTCAGTGTGCATTAAATTGTAATTACGAGTCGGTTCATATTTCGGTATGTGCATGAAAGGTGTCATAAATTTAAACTTGAGGTATATTTATAAAATGAATATAGTAAACCGTCAGGAACCCATGAATATGCGGGTAGAAACATAACGGCAGCTAAATATAAAGTCAGAATATGCATAACAGAATCGCCCGAGCCGAAGGGTTGTGGAAACTATAGTCTCCGGAACGCCGCTGATTTTTAACGGGTCATTCACGTAGGACGGCCTCAATAAGTTTGTAAGAGCATCCAACAAGAAAGTTATTAGCGAAATACACTCATTCACAAACTAACTTGTTTTTCTTAGAGACTCACGTGGAACTCAGCAGAATCCCTCGTTTTTTTAATGCTTCCGGGCAACTGAATGTGCCGCACCAGGCTGCCTCATGTTTCAGTCGCTACGATATTTGAGGTATCGCGATACATGTATATTTGTAATCCAATATTACTGGGGCAGCACAATCAGTTACCTGGAAACATTAAAAGCGGGAGATTCAGCTGGGTTCCAGGTGAGTCTCCTGAAAAACCAAATTAGTTTGCAAATGAGTGTATTTCGCTAGTTTCCTGCGATTTGGTTTCAAGTGGAACATACGGTTGACGGAACCTCGGGGACTAGGCCTACCTGATGAGCCCCAAGAAGGGGGAAACCGGTCGTGGGCTGTCAGCGAATTTTCAGCAACCTTATGAGCAGTGCATTACCAAGAGAGTTGTTAGTTTATCAAGTCGCTAAACTCCCACAAATGTGCTGGTTTTCTTTCATCACTTACTGAAAGAGAACATTCGGCCCATTTGTGTTTCAGTAAGGTTCACCACCCTATGAAAAGCGGATAGCTAAATGAAACGCTATGGTTCGTCAGTAGACACAAGAATGATACAAAACGACTGGATCTCGAGAGAAAATGAGGGTGGAGTATGGTCGGATGAGCAAAACAATTTGAGTGTTTTGTTACAAATAAATTGGATGGTGATCAGGCCCTGTGCTGTTTTTACTTCAGCGGAATCCGAGTTTAACATACGTTTGAAAAGAAACGAGCCATTCTGAATGACGCAAGAGGACTTACACCAGTCAGTTTTGTAGACGTAACGCCTGATAGTCGACAGCACGTCTAGTTTTCACAGACAATCCACTGAAAACTTTGCTACATTCGACCATCCATTTCAGACCATTACTTTCCCCGACCACATTGGCTTCATTCCCACACGTATTCTTTCATTGCTCCCCAACTCATCTAACAAAATCATAAGTTTTACTCTTTCAACCTTCACCCTATTGGGAAATGTACCTGGCTACCGAAAATTTGCAAGCAGTTGCTCACAAGTGTTATTTGGCCCAATATAAGGTTTGGATCTAGGGTAAGTATTATGCACTGCGTTTCACACTAATTTTTCGTGGTGTCATATATCACTAAAATGGCTCGAAAACAGAGTAACGGCCTACCGAGGTCATTTCCTGGTAGTTTTTCCGAGTAGATCTGCATCATATAAAGCACCGACCTTCGTACCAACTGGAATCAATACAAACTCGACAGCTGTTGCAACTGAACCCACCTCTACCCAAATGGCGTGTGTGCGACCCTTCCTGGATTAATTAACATGGTTGGAGGAAATTGGTTGGATTTGTACATTTTACATTGGTGTGAGGAAACTGCTAGATGAGAGTGCTATTCCCGTCAAGATCCGATGTTTCCGACCCAGGGCTACCAAACCAAGCAGCATTGACTTCTACTTCTCTCCTTGCTACTCAATGTCGAATGATCGAATCTGCAGAAAAATTATTTCATACCGCAATACCTGGAAACAATTTCGTCTGATTCCAAGAAAAGAAAAGCGTTATTGGACGAGTATTCATACGTGTTAAGCCCCTCACGGACAATTTGGTCATTTTAAACAGTTGCGCGAATAAAAAAACGAGAAAAAACGGTTCATGAATAGCTGTTCCGACGCTCTGATCAAATCTTACACATTTTGAGTTCATTCTTTATTGACAGGTGTGTGACGACAGCAGTCTGAACTCACCATCCAAGTTGTCAAAAATGGAATTATCATCACTTACACTTCTTCTTTTATTTTGTCTGTTTTTCTAGTCTATAATGAACGATCCTTGGGTGAACCTCAGCTACGACGACAACCCATTGACTCCTTACGTGGAAACAAAATCGGAGACAACGGATCCAAACCGAATTGAACAGCTGATGAGCATGGGATTCGGTTTGAATGCCATTGTATCGTCTCTAAAAAACAACAACTTTGACGAGATTACTGCGACCTACAACCTACTTGAAAGACGGTGCAGTGTAGATGAACAGAGACCGGAAAACGGTCACGAACCGCCTCATAAGTAGGTGCAAATATATGCCCAGGTCCCTGATACATGCATAATCATCTCAGGAAATCAGCACTTGCAGGGTGATAATGTACTTGAAGTAGTAAATTTGTCACGTCTTTTTAGATGTTTAAAGCAAAACTACAGGTGGTGATATGATGTGATATATATTCTATATATAGCGAGTTATCCTAAGGTATACTTTTGCATGTATCTAACCAGTATTTCTGTAGTTAAACGTCTGCTGGGGTATTTCTCCTGAGAGGCATGAAATGTTCACTCAAATGTGAGCAATTGGCTAACTTTGTGGCATTAGGTGAAGCACCGTAAACAACAAAACCACATGTATAATCGGTCTGTTCTTAACAGCCTTTTATTCGTGTTCTGTAAAAATATGGAACCTTTCCACTCCAAACACGGGTATCGATCCGACCCATGCAACCATTTACTCCCTGTTTTCACTGCCATTTTAACTACCCGCCCTTAAATTCAGCTCGCACACTTTCTCTATGAGGAATGCTGCCACTTTTGCTGACTGACGCTACTCACAACGCCGTTGCTCCAAAATACCTTCGTATTCTTCTAGACTTGATCAGTTATCCCGACAACATTACACGCCCCCAAAAAAACCTTCGTATTCTTCTAGATTTGATCAGTTATCCCGACAACATTACACGCAAGGTGGCAGTTTTTGAAATATGGTGCGGATCGATAGATAGCATAGCACAAAGAGTGAGAACTGAGAAGAAAATCACACAGTAAACTGGTGAAATGTCACATTCTGATATCCTAAATACAACTAGTTTTAATTGTACCCAATAATATGTGGCCACTCCCGAAATGGGTCACTTGAGAGCTGTATTTCTGGATTATAGAAAGCGACGTCTACCAGTTCTTCAGAATTCGTGCTAAACTAGCAGGATTTTCCATCCCGATGCGTCTTTAGGACCAATAAACTGGTTGTTGACCTTTTGCGCTCGACCAGACCACTCTTTAGCCTGAGAAGTTTTCGTGTTTATAGGCCTTGTTTGAATTTGCTTTTCAGCATACCTTGACTCTATCACCATATTGCTGTTACGTTTTCGCACAATATCGAATATCTCTTTCCACGTCCAGAGTTGAGATTATGGTTCAGCANCATCTGTTACTGAGTAGTATTGCTCCATGAAAATTCAGAACATAACGGTTGTGACAGATGCTTCCCATAGGGTCCCACAGGACAAATTTAAATGTAGTTTGAAAGGATGCGAGTATAATAAGTGGCTGCATGTTGTTGATGAAAACCCCGAAATGACATACCTTCAGATGAACCCTTGCGTCCTTTTCTGAGAGGAGTCAGTAGTTCTCCAAGGTAAAGCTAGTGCCTTCATGTGTCTCTGATGAAAGACTGATGTTTGGCGCAATCGAACTGTAATCGCCTGTTTCGTTCATTTCTATGGATGAGCTTCGAAACATTTAGTGGCATTCGACAACTCACGCCGAATCACTTGGCACCCCGTAGACTTGCTTGGTGACATCGACCAGAAGTTTTGCAAATGCATTAATCACGTGAAGTGGGTTAAATTCATTAGGGAGTGTAGAACCTGCGGGGACAAGAGTGAAACTAACCGACCTTCAGCAACAGTAATTGCAGTCATGGCTAGAGTTTGTTGCATCGTCTAGAATAAAGGGAGATGATAAGGAAGTCTTCTGATGCGAACGACAGCAAGATCCTCGGGCGTTGCTTGGGTTGAGAATGCTTACTCTTGAACAATGCCTCATTAAACTGAACACCTTTGGCTCAAGCCAGTGAATAATATGTATAAGGAAGAAAAATCCCGGAAGTTGCATTGATTTTTGTTCAGAAATATGGCTACCGCGGTGTGCGTTTGTAAGTGCCCCCGTGATTTATGCTACGTAATTGCCACTTATTCACACCACTGATAAACTGCTTCTAACTAAGTGGCACGGTCCTCAGCCACTGACCGGGGGTTCGAACGAGAAATGTGTTAGATGCGAAGTGCGGATGATGAACTAAAAAGTAATTCTTGGATTTCCAGAGTAGACTGACCTCATCTGTAGGCTGGCAGCTCAATCCCAATAGCAGATGTCTCAGTTTCACGACAGAATCGACTCTTTTCCTGTTTCAAGCAAGCATTGTTGTCAACTGAGGTGTTAGGAGAAAAACCACTCCTCTGTTGTAAGCAGGTGAGTGCCTAGACGCCAAACTTCTGTTTGGTTCTGGCACAGCAAACTGAATTTATTTCCTGAGTTTTTTTAAAACTCTACTAGTGTATCTGTTACCTAATGGGTGGTACAGTCTATTCTTCACTTGTTCTAATCAAGAAACGCCCAATCTATTGTCTACGCTTAGGTTTCGTAATCAAGTCATGCGAAAAACTCCAGTGTTCTTATTAGAGTCATATTGTGCCAATCTGATGGCGAGTATCTTTGCTAGAGAATATCATTATACTTCCTGTTTTCTAGTTCCACCGACCTATGTAAATATCTCTCTTTTCACTAAACCATGAAAATACCAACTGAATGTCTTCTGTTTACCTAGATTGCACAACGGCTCGCGTACTCCGACTCCACCAAAACTCACGGTTTCAAAGCTTGATGCTTCGCCTGTTTCGAATCCATCCAAATCTCCCTCTCCTTCTCCGAAGAGCAGCTCTCCAACTTTGGATTCAACAGAGAAACAATCGCCCTCGTCAGTGGCTTCTCTGAAAACACCGGGTAGTCCGCCTTCGCCCAAACTGATTCAACCATCGACCGCTCCCAGACTGTCGTCGGAAGAGGAACCATCTGCCCATCCGTTTGAAAGGAAAATCAGTATAAAGCGCGAATATGCGGAGAATAAGAAGAGTGTGGAAAAAACAGTGGATACTGCTGTGAAAACTAATGGTAAGTCCAGAGGCGCGTGGCAGACAAACAGATGCTTAAGTGATAAATGAAATTGCAAAGCATGTGACAACATACTGGTCTTTTGTAGGACTGATACAAAACGAGCAAAAATTCCGCTTTTGTAGTATCCCGAGAATCCTACCATTTTATGGAAATCGTAACGGCACAGCTTCTCGGCAACGCTTCGAGGGATCGCACACTGAATTAGGCCTCTTCAAAGCGGAAGCATCGCTTTTTTTCAGGACGAAAAATAATTTATATTCATTGTCATAGGAGTTGTGGTCCATCCAGTATTCTTTTTTGCATGACTATATTGATTCAAATACTTGAAACGATGCTATCCCGTGTTACGGACAGACGTCCACGCGCCACGCGTGAACACACAAAGATGAGTTATCCCAAGAGTGTCTCAGCGTTACGCGAGACATGGATAACCACTGATGTATTTTAGATTTCTAGGCCATGAAGGGAATACGAATTTAATCGAAACATTGAAAACTCATGATTAGGGGGCCCAAATGGTAAAACATTATAGCGAGTAAAACATATCGTACCACACATCGAACAAGCAATCCTTGTGCCTCAATGATTAAAGTCAAACACTGATAATGATTGGTAAGCGTTTCTGCTTTCAGTTCCAAATAAACGGCTTACATCGCTAAAGTGCTCGAATGTTAGTCATCATGTCAATTTCAAAATCGGAAAGGTATCTAAATACTCCTGAGTGATATATACTACTGATGAAGCATACGAGTAGTGTACGGTCTGCTGTCCAACCTCTACCTCCTCATCTGATGGAAGATCAAGGTTGCTGAGAAAACTGTGCGATCGCTTTGCAGTGTTCATCCATCATTATTTAACATTCAAAGAATGTCCAGAAAAATACAACAGGACGCTTGAGAATGTTCACTTTCCAATAGCTGTGCAGATGAGATATTTACTTACGTGCCTAATGGGTTGTAACCGCTTAGTTATTCTCAACAAAATGCATTCCTCCTTTCACTGGTGGATTGAGTTAGCTCATTGGCTGTTGATCACGTACCAATTGATCTGCCCACCGAGCTCGTTACATGGATTGCAGACGTCTTGTCATCAAGTCGACAGACATCGTCGGTGGGTACCTCCTCTATTTCTCTTTGCGTTTATAAGGTATATGATGAATAGATTATATTCAAATATGATTGGTTGTTTAAAGCTTGGCCTGGTCGACAACAGTAGGACCAGCACTCTTGCATCAGCTCAGCGTGCCAATAGGACGAACAATCAAATCCAGCACCATACACTGGAAAATAAATATCGGGACCAATCATGAACTACTTATATGGAAACTATTCACACAATTCATGGCTCAAGAACCTTCCTAGTACGCAGCGCACACAGCCAGGGCAGAGCATTTATATGGAAGAAATCAACCTCAGCTTCATAGATGGCGCGGAATTGGAGTACTTAGAAGCAGCGATGGATTCTACCAGACTCGAGAACAACCCCGTCAAACCTTCGTTCCAGCCATCAGACTCAACAAAACACCCAATACTTTTTCTCGTTAACAGAAGAATTCAATGAATAACTGAAAGAAAGACAAACCATTGTCATTCCTTTGGTAGACAAGGGATGCATGATGGTCGTCATGGACAAAACCGGACTACATGAATAAGGCGCGAGTTTTACTTGAGGACGCCACCTCCTGTCACCATGTGTTGGAGAAGCTGATAGAAAATAACGAGTGAAATCAACGAAGCCCTCAGAATACTTCATGATTTACAGAGAGGTTCAATAGAACAATGTTGGAGAACGAGAGCTGGCGACTCTAATAGTCCCTGCTTTTGCGGACTCCTGAAAGTGCACAAAGGGAAGCTACTAATATGACTCATTGTGTCGCTCCCTAGAACACCAATGTACGACCTTTCAAAAGAACTATGGTGCCATCGGATCCGTTTGTACAATAAATAATTTGAAACCGAAGGACAACCAGGTCGAAAAAGGCGAAAGAACGAAGTCAGCCTATATGAGCTTACTATTTACAATTGTGGGCCTCGGTTCGGTCAAAGTAGATGTGAGTGATCTATTGAATAGCTGTAGACTTCCGAATAAAAAATCGTTCGGCTGTAACATTCTTTCGGTGCCTCACTGCCATGCCACCGGAAGGAAGTACGAGGGCTGGGATACCGCCAGGTTGCCCAAGCCTAGACAGGGGAAGTCGAGAGGCTGCAGTCGGGGTCGAACCACGGACCTTCCGGTCAGTAAATTTGCGCTCTAACCACTGAGCCAAAAAGTAAGACATTTGTGAATTGCACGAAATCTGTCTGACAACACATTTTGAATTCAACCGGGATTACTTTATACAAACCGATAATATCACCAATTTCATGATTGGTTTTGACCATGACAGTGCAAAAGCTGGAGCGAGCTGTAATTCAGGACATAAATTCATAGTTAAGGATCGTTACTTGGAGAATATATCGTCCGGAGGCCATCCGTCCCTAATAACCAAACGTCACATCATTTGGACGAATGTGTCACGTGCAGGACACGGAACAAACGAAGGCATGCCCTGATTGGCCAGAATGCCAGTCAATCCCGAACGGGCATCTTTGACTTGAAGCTTCACGCTCCCTCACGGCGATTCTAGCATGACCTTGTGGAACACTCTGTGATTACCCTATAAATGCAGTTGTAATAATTTCCCTTTGTCTTTATAAAGGACTGTCCAGTGTTATCGTGCCTTTTGATACACCATAGTGAGCGGAGCAGGAAGCCAAGGGACAGATACAGAGTTGCACGACCGTTATACAAGGCAAAGCATATATTTCCCAACTTTAAACAGTAGTGAACTTCAACGAACAACCTAACGATGAAGAACGATATCAAATTCGTCAGATTTGAGATGCATTCTCGGAAGGTGTTTCTCACCAAACTGTCCAACAGACAATGATAGGAATGTGACTCGGACAGAGCTACCAAGATAAGCACCCAAGCTGCTACAAGCGGAGCCTCCAGACCTTCTCAAGGCAAACTGAAACGAATAGTGACACCACCTAACTTAAAGTTAGGGAGGAAAATCGCCCATACAAAGCCTTCCGAAGCGCTAGTTACTCGAGAAAAATCATTTATTTGGAGATCTTGGAGAAGATTTAACCAGACTAACTCAGGAGCGCAAGAGAAGACAAACGAATTACAATTCTGCACATCGGAGACGTTTCGAAAATGCTCGCAGGAGTGTTCTGATAGAATATAACAGCAGCAAACGCACCGACGAAACCCCTCAAGAAGCACCTAAAGCAAAGGTAGAAACTTTGATAAAGGCAGTCGTTATATACAAAATCCAAGGTGAGAACTGTAACAAACACTACGTTGAACAAACTGAAAGGAATCCGTTCACTAGACTACACAAACCTGTCGCTAGACGGTATGATCAATTCTCAGATATTTCCATGGTTTGAATAAGAACAAAGTGAGGAACATTAATGCTTTCTTGATCTCGTCATCAGGGTCACTACTTATCTAATGGTCAAAATAGGGGTAAATAATGATAGAAGTAGCTAAGATTGGTTAGAGAAATGTAAACATGGAGACTGGAACGATTGGTTTTTGGCTCCTCAGACGTATCATCTAGTTGGATGGACAGTTCAGGGGGGCTTGAGAGACTTGGTCAGTTGATCCGTGTCAAATGGTAAAGTCCACTCACTGTTCGAAAGAGTCGCTTTTGAAAACATAGTACTGGGTTTCGCAAAACTAACGGGACCGCTTCGGCTGTAGTCAAGGGGGCACCGTTGGACCGTTGTTGACAGTCTACTAGGTACTAGGTAGATCAATCCGAACGAGTCGTTTCACGCTATCTACTGAGTATCCAATCGACTGCCAGTATCGATCCAACGGTGTCGCTTGACTACAACCAAACCAGTCGCAATAACTGCGAAATCCGGTATTGTGATGTTAAAAACGAATCTCACAGAAAGAGTCTGTTTTGATCATGTGACACCGATCACCCGACTAAGTTGCTCAACGGCCCTCTGAGCTCTCTCACAGCATTCAGTTAGATGCGACATAGAGTGCACCGACAACCATTCGTTCTTCTCCACGTTTTCATTTTTCGGACTAATCCTAGAAGTTTATTCCATTATTTGCCTCTATTTTTACCATTAGATATGTACTGACCTGATGACGAGTTCCAGAAAACAATAATGTTTGTCCATGCGTTCGTAATCTTGATCAATTATGGACCCTCTCCGCTCACGAAGATCAAGAGGGGTATAAATTCAATTGTGACCGTGTCGGTATACAAACCCAAGCAAGAACTAATGTGAATTTATGGTGATGTGGTGCCCAACTGAGAAAGCCATCAACAGACACGTCGCGATAGACCCAATCTATCAAACTCTCAGAAACAAATAGATTCGGAACACCCGAGCTCAAAAACAAAAGCCGGAGAAAACACCTCTAGGGGTCACTAAGAAGACAAATCCCTGGGTAAATTGAAGATCACTGGAGCTCCCATCCTGAACAAAGATGAATCAGCAAGCCAAGATGCCTAGCAGAATTACAATTGGAAATTGCACGAAACAAAAGCTTACTTTACGAATAGGTCAAGAGATAGGAAGCAACAAAAATGGCAAACGAGTGAGCCAAATCAAAGAAAATTACTAAACGTAGGTGTTTGGTCGACCAATCCAGTGACAGGAAGACTGACTAGAAAGCAACACACATCAAATTCGAAATAAACTAGTCTGACTAAGGGAATAGAACTACTGCGATAGAGGTAGGTACTCAATGAACCAGCCAGATGCGTGACAGTCAAACCAAAACGTAATCTAAATCGTGATAGAATCGAGCAAATCACGTACTACCCAGTAGCAGTTTGTGTATTATGCGCCATTCAGAACCTACATAGACGCAAGCAGCAGTGAATGAACTACTTAACCACCGCGCGCTGATGATGTCTCACCCCTTGCTGACGAAATATCTGCGAGCCAACTGCCACCTGATCAACAGCCTCACGAATC